ATACACTGTACATATAGTGTTCTACGAGTGTTACTCAAACCATTCCATCGCATCTGCTTCCAGAATCACGTGACATAACCTAATAGATACCTCTTATCAATGCGCATTGAACGCACCCAAAACCATCCAAAACGGACATTATCTGAGCTCATACCAACAGTTACAACATATGAACCATATGTCATAGACCTTGTAGTCCTTTCAGCACTGCATTGATATGTGCACTCTGTTCACATCTACACTGGCTCCTATGTGGACTAGGTTCACAAATATAATCAACATTATAGGGAATTGATCTGATTTACTAGTAGGCAGATGTGGGTGTAGTAGGCAGGGGCAGGGCACTACAGCCACTAGGTGTCTAATAACTTGCAGAAGCCTCACTTTTCTGAAATCAGCCCTTCAAAATCGAATCAATTCCGATAAATCCTGAGTATATTCATAGTAGTAGTTCACATAGAGTCTGACTGAAGCCCACAAAGAGCGCCCATCTCAGTCTAGTTGAATAGGTGTAGACACTAACAGGCACTACAAAGTGTAGAAAGGAGTGAAGCGCTGAGCCCAGTGGCAGTGCAAACCCAGCGCTAGTGAACCCTACAGGGGGACCCTAACCCAGAGCTAGGGTGATGGGAGTAAGTAGCAAACTTATGCGTGGGAAGTGGCTGTGCTAGTGAAGAGTAATAGGAGTCTGAAATTTTATTCCTACGGGTCTCACTAAGGGTGTCGCGTGTCGCAGCCAGAGCCCTCCTCATAAAGAACGATTCATTCTTACCTCATTAATCGTAACAATGATTGAGTGTAAAGTGATCAATCAGAATGATATTGAAACACTATAGAGATATATATATAAAGTTATAGAGTGCATTTATGAAGAAGGAAGAGCTGGAGATTCATCCCGGAGTGCTCTAAGGAAATCAGAAAAGGTGAAAAAGGCTTAAAAGCGGGCTGGAGGTCTACTACTCTGCCGGATTATTTGATTAGGCCGTTGAATGCATCAAAAGCAGGCCGGAAGCAAGCAGTGCACACGAAAAACAACACAGAGAAGCAAGTGTTGCATTTAAAGCGGGTAAAACACAGTTACAAAGAAAAAACCAGCCCCGGGGCACCTGAAAGCATTTCCATCCCTTCCCTTACTCAAGCTTGAGGCGAAATAATGGATGGGAAACTCCTTCCTAATCCAGCAGGAGGTGCTCGATATAGACGCCCACTGGGGCACTCCGGCATAGGTTCCCCGGGCGGGGAAAAATTCCAAGGCAAACAGAAATCAGTTAGTACAAGTCCGAATCTGCGCAAGGGCTAGAGTACCCTTTCCGCACTGTCGTTCGCAACTCGACAGCACAGAAAGAGATGCTCTAGCCCCCATAATGCGCAACTTAAGGTCAAAACAAATAAAATGACCTTTGATACAACTCCGGCAAGAACTACCAGTAAAGACCTTTGACCATGGGAGGGGGCATATACCTCAGTACACCTATATATATACTAATACCTATTAGGTGTCGGGTCAATGGGCATGTGCCAATTCCTGGGGCATACGGGTAGGCGCAGGTAGGCGCGGGCCATGCGCGGACAGCGGGCACCTAGAAAAGACTTGCATCTGCTGAGATTAGAACCCCGGCCTAGCATAAACAAAGCGCAGCTCAGCTTTACAGCTGAGCTACGCGTCCTTACAAGATTCCCCATATACATTGTTATGGATTTACTGCACCCATGGACATATTATCAAATCTCCCATCAGTTTGTGTTATCTCTCCCGCTTACACGTTATCTCCCACGCCCACGTCACGCGCTTCCGACCCGCCCCTCGTGCTCGTCGTCCCCAACAGCGAGCTTGCTGTCCTGCCGCCCCGCTCCCCCCTCTCCTCCGTTTCCCTCCATTCCTTTTTGTATCCGCTTGCATTTAAAATGCGCACATAATGGTATATAATTCAATACCCTCACTCAGCTGGATGAGCCTGCATTGAGCCCTTATACCCCCAAAAATGCGTGCAACATAGGAACTTATACAATTGATCAATCATCTGGTTATTATCTGCATCGGATAGGATTATGAGAACTTGTTTTTCATCTGAAATCGCAGGTGGATAGCTGGAAGGGTGCAGGTATGATGTCATATATCATTTCAGGATACACCGCTTGGCACACTCTGAGCTCCTATGGCATGTCTCCGCCGTTTCTCAGCCATTTTTCAAGATTACTTCTGCATCATGTAGGAGAATACTACCCTGTTCTACTCCGCTTTTCAGAAAAGTAATGGAGCACATGTTGTCGTGCGGACTCTGACTCGCCCTATGTATTTTTTTCGCTTTTCTTGCCTTTTCCTGCCTTTTATATATTGAAGGTTTTCCGCGCTTAGCCCTATCGCGACTCTCTTAGCACTTGCACTTCGTGTCCTAGCCTCATCTCGACCTCTTGTCTTTGTGGCTAGTGAGTATTCGATTGCTGTATGTCTGTAGAGCTATGTTAACTTGGTCTTTGTGGCTAGACATCCTCGCGTGACTCTAGTTGCGTCTGCTTTGCGCCTAGTGCCAGCAACGCCTCTGCACCACTACATCGAGGTCATCCAACCTCCATCTCTACCCATCCACCCCTCCCTCTCCTCCGATTGGCGTTCGCGGCCGCTCCCGCGTCACATGTCATCTTGCTATACACTATGTCATAGAATAATGACATACCATACCCTATCTTCAATACTGCACCGATAAGCATGAAACTGACGATCTGAGCTCTATAAATGTGTAGAAACGCAATGAAGCAAATGGTACAATGATTGGACGTCTGCACAAGAACATATGAAGGCCGCATTTTCAATGTAGTCCTCCCTTCTGAGCACATGTCATCGCCAAAACATTGTCGTTTCACCTGCTTTACGATTAATGAGGTACGAATGAATCGTTCTTTATGGGGTGGGCTCTGGCTGCGACGCGCAACACCCTTAAAATGCTAGTCGTGGGAGTATTTTTCAGATTCCGCTTACCTCTGATTAGCACAGCCACTTCCCACACATAGGATTTTTACTTACTGCCATCACCCTACTCCGGGGTTAGGGTTGCTCTCTAGGGTTCCAATAGCCGCTGGGTCTGCACTGCCACCTCTGGCCCGTCTGTATGCTCTAAGGCCGATGTTATTGCCTACATTGATAGTACCTATGCTGTATAGTAGTTCTAGTTACCTATGTGTAGTTACCTACTAGTGTTATTATCTATGCTCTCTAGTAAGTGTAGTTGCCTACATCTGTCTCTACCCATATTCTATACTACTGCTGTTACCCCATGACCGGAGTTGCTTACTATGCTAATACCTTGTATGCTAGACTAAGATGGGCACTGTATAGCACTTATTATTGCCTACTACTAACACTGTATAGTAGCTATAGTTACCTGCTAGCATCAAAGTTGCTTGTCTAGAGAGTACTTACCACCTTTGCTACTCCGGCCTTGCCTACTGCCCTATTCTAGGTTGCTACAGTGTTCAAAGTTAGTACTCCAGCATTATTTACCAGTTTCTCCAAAGCCACTAATCCAGTGCCACCTAAATCCCCATTGAAAGTTGCTACATTGTTCAAAGTCACTACTATGGTCTTACTTACTGTACTATTTGGGGTTGCCAGTCTGGCTGCAAGTTTGAAGCTACTAATCTGGCCTTATTTGCCGGTCTGTTCAAAGGTACTAGTTCAGCTTTACTTAGTAGGAGTGGGCCATTACTGGCCTTACTTACTCCTGGGTTCAAAGCTGTTACTAGTGCCTGTTCCAGCCTTGCTTACTCCTGGGTTCAAAGCTGTTACTAGTGCTGTTCAGCCTTACTCCTGGGTTCAAAGTTGTTACTAGTGCCCGTTCTGGCCTTACTTACTGCACCTTTTAAAGATGTCTCTAGTCCCAGTAGTGAGTTTGAATAGCACAATAAGCATTTTTCACTCACTAAGTTGAATCAGATAATAAGTACTGCTGGACTAGTATCTTTGAAAGCTGTAGTAACCAGCCCCTGTGAAGGGTGTGGTAAGTATAGTCTTGCTAGTAAGTTTTAATAGTGTTAAATGAGCCAGTAACTTTGAATTGACTAGTAGGAAGTGTAGGACTATCAACTTTGAACAGTGTAGTAACAAGTCTGAACTGTGTGCTGTTTGACTAGTAGGCTTACATGCAATAGTAAACACTGCTAGACTCTTTCTTTCAAGGCGCTCCTAACCTTTGAATTCAGTTGTCTCTGTTATGTGCAAAAGTGAATGCCATGGTTAAGGGCTCTTGTGTATACAATGACTACTAAAGTAGTACTCTGTTCAAGGCTTAGCAGTGCATTTGGTGCTTGCTAGAGCATTGAAAGCTCCTAGTGGGTCAGTTACACCCAATGCTAGCTCACTATGGCATATGGTGATATCTAATGTTGTGGGTCCAAGTATTGTTCATTCAGATGCAGTGACCTTAAACATGGTAACAACTTTGAACAAGGTGGTAATCAAGGTCAGACTAGTGACCTTGAACGTAGTAAAAACTTTCAACAGGATAGTAAGTAAACTTGGACTAGTCCGGGCGAACTTAATACCATGTTCAATGTTACTAGTCTGGGCGCACTTACTACGGCGTACAAAGTCACTAGTCCGGCCCTACTTACCCCCACGTTCAATGTGTCAATCCGGGCGGACTTACCACCACGTTCAAAATTGTTACCTTGTTCAAGGTTACTAGTCCGGCCTCACTTACTACTGTGTTCAAAGTCATTACCCTGTTCAAAGTCACCATTTGAGGTTGAGGGCATGCTTACCGGTATAGCCGTGGCAAGAACTCCACGTACAATTCAGACTGGTCTTGTGCACAACATACACAAGTGTTTATTGAAGTAGGAGTAGTTAGAGGTGAAGAGCAACTACTTGTTTGGAAACGTAGGACAAGTGGTAAGGAGGAGTATGACGAGAGTGACAACTTATCTTCACAGAGGTTTATTCAGCCATTGTAATATGCACAATTCCATTCCCACTATTCAGACTAGCAAATATCGCCGTAAATTCAGCTGATGTAAGTACGGCTGGGAGTCAGGAATCCTAGACAGATAGTCAGTAAAACAAGGGACTCTGATGTCACAATTCTCTTACCGTTCAAACGTTCTTCGCCAAAGTCCTGACTCTTGATCATCTCAGCGACCTCCAATCCGTCCTCTCGCCACATCTCGACCAACTTGACAATCTCATTGTTGCGCTGAACCCACCACCACCTATTCCAACGAAGCCCATCTTCAGGAAACTGATTGAGGAACTCCACGTTGATGACCCGGAGCGTGGGGATCCTCTGCGCGAGAGCCTCAGCAAGTTCAATGCAGGCCGGGATGTGTCCACTTTCAAACCAATCTAAATTGAGAGCCACGCGGAGATAGAGAAGAGGAATATTGGAGAGGTTTTTGGGCACAGTGACCTGAACGAACCGGGTGTTAATTAAAGATGAGTACACATGAATAGCGAACACATACCAAGAGATTTGCAAAACTATCAGTGCTGGCCAGCGTTGTGGCTACCTTCTCAGGCTGAAGGTTGTGTATCTCCAGAGACCGGATTCGACGCTGCTCCGCCCTTTCCAGGTAACAGTCAGTTGGACCGTCAATGTCTTGGGCCCAGATCATTTTGGAGAAGGAAACCGCCACCAAAGAGGGGGTGTGTTCAAAGTTGAGTAGGTGGTAAGGAGGCGAATTCCCTTGATAATTCTCCTGAGTGGGGAAGTAATGGTAGCCCTCGAACTGGATGTGGTGGATGGTGGTAATACCGGAGGAATTATAGAAATCTGCAATGACTCCCTCCGCATCCTTATCACAGCTGTATGTGAACTTCTGGAGATGGGGCCAAGGATGAACCGCCAGGACTTGTGTGTTATTTTGGCAATGAGCAGAGAGGTGGATGAGATTAGGACAGGGTGGAAGGAAGAGCGGCGATTTCATCCTCATCGATCTCCAGGTCGCCCTCGTCAGAGGTGTGAACGTCTCCGGTGAGCTCCAAACGGGAGAGCCTAGGAAGGTTGGCAAGAGTTCCTATGAAGCAATGTATGTACTTGAAACTCTGCAATGATATATCGTTGGGGATGCTCTTCTTTTTGAACGTGATAGATAAAAAGATAAGGGCGGAGAAGCGGGGCAGGAAAGGCTTGAATGCGTGCAACGCATCAGGTGTGACAGATGACAGAGCGAGCATGGTTAAAAGGGAAGGGGCATGTATCGAAGTGAGAATCTGGGGGAACACCGGGGCGTACTGAAAGAGGTCCGGGATGTGGAGCTCATGAAGTTGGGAGCATTCACGGAGCAGTTGCAACAGCCCAGCTGTGGCCAACTTCGACGAGTTCCTGGAAGTATGAAGAATCTTGATAGAGGCCGCTGGGACCTCCTTGAGACGAGGATGGGGAGTGAGAAGAAACTGGACCCGTTTTTCGAGTGGTTGGGGAGTCGGGTTCCAGATTCCAAGGTTGATGATTGAGAAAATGAGAGGGGTGGTAATAGAACACATCGTGGAGTGGACTAAAGCCATGGCAGCAAGATCAGAGGTATTGAGGTGTTCAATGATGTAAGAGACAACATCATGGTTGAGTTGCATCATGGCTGGGATAGAGAGGAACAGCTATGAAGATGGTGTGATGAAAGAAGGCTTTTGCTTTGTTCGCAAATAGGCTGATGGGCGCCATAATCAGGGCGGCTTCGACTACTCCGCCCTTAATCCATGGCTGTTTAATACTGAAAAAACATGGAAGCTGATGTCTCAAACCGTCAAAAAGAGATAAATATTAAGAAGATGTATTGTGTGCAAGATCATACCAAAGTGCTCCAACTCCCTAAGAGAAACCGTAGACTCCACCATTAAATAAAACTCTAATAGAACTAAAATGGTCCTATACACAGAAACAAAGGCAGAGGGACAAGAACGGGACCGGGATGAGGATAGGAGGGTGCTTACCGGAATAGCCACGCAAGAACCCGGCGTACAACCCGAACTAGTCCCCTGCGTAGCGTTTGAGGTGGTCCATCAGAGTGGAGAGTCGTTTTAAATGAACATCATACTGTTATTTAAATCCACAGGGCCAGAGTAAAACATAGGAGGTGGAACCAAAAGCAAGTATAGCTGTTGAATGGCTGTAGTTGCTGAGGAAAAAACCATGGCAACTTGCAAGGCAGCTATCTTGCAACCACATCTCAAGCGGATCCTGAAACCTTGGATCAATATTCCCACACTGTTTAATGCCAGAAGCAAGTGGCACACACAAAACATGACACAGAGAAGCAAATATTACATATAAAGCAAATACAAGCAGGTAAAACATAAAAAGCCAGTCCCAGGGCACCCAAATGTCATCCCAACCTGACGCGGACCTGGGCTTGAGGCGACATGTACGATGAGAAAGTCCTTCCTAATCCAGCGGAACCTGGGCAATATAGACACCCGCCAGCGCGCACAGGCGTAGGTTCCCCCAGGGGACAAAACCACTGAGGCGCAATGGGATGAGTTAGTACAAGTCCAGATCTGTGCAAGGGCTAGATTCCCCTTTCCGCACTGTCGTTTGCAACTCGAAAGCACAGAAAGAGATCCACTAGTCCCCATAATACGTGATGTAGCACCTCCGGCAAGCACTGCTAATAACAAGCCTGCCGGGGAAAGCTTTTGCAATGGGATGGAGAGGGCCAGAGTGGTTCTAAAAACAGGGAGCACAATAGAGGGTAGATGGGGCGGGGTTGGTTCATGGAACGCCGGAGGATAAGTGAAGACTCATCAGGTTGCCTGCACTGGGAATGGCTCCCAGACCCGAATTTACCACCTAGAATGACTGCAAGAGAAAGAATGCAAAAACGATTGAGAAGAACAGGGAATTATGCACTGTGTGCACTGACAATTGACATGTTTGTCGTTCATTAGCGGTCCTAGGATGAAGGCTTAAGAGGAGCTTCAGTTTAGGTACCGCAATTTGATACCTTCATCAGTTTTGTAATGATATGATGTGCAGGTGCAAGAGCATTCTCTACTATCCGTATTGTTAGGTATATATGCAGCTGATTTTGTGCAGATCTGGCATTGCAGAGTGTTTGTGAATATAATCTCTTTAGCCATGCTTGGACCAACCACAGGCTAGTAACTGCTGAAAATCAGATTGATTCTCTAAAGTGCTGCTTATATTTATGAACATAGTCCTTATAGTAGCTAGTGTGATTGTGAAAGAAGGGCTCATAAAAGCCTAGTGGTTGGAGTACAGTAAGATTTATGACATACAACTCATATGTTATAACTGATGGTATGAGCTCAGATGGTATATATTTCAAATCATTATAGATGCACTGGATGTACATTGGAGAGCCTAATCCAACAGTGTATAGCATGTGATATTGTAAGAAGCTTAAGGTGAATGGTTTGAGTAACACTGGTGTAACACTACATGCACAGTATATGGCTTGTTATAATCTTGTTTCTAATTCAATTGCTACATACATAGTTGCATCAGAATGCCTCCAAAACGGGCTACCAGATGGCATATGTCATGGTATGTCTGGTGCATTTGATGTACCATATTGTAGCAACTATTACTAGCTTGTGTTGACTGAGCTACAGCTCAGGGCCTGGAATATGCTTATGTAACATACACTGTTGGAAAGCCACTGCAATGATGTACTCAATGTAGTTTGAATCATAAGAAACAGAATCAAAATGAGCAATAGAGAGGCTTGTCAGCAAATGCAAATGTAGTTGCCTATTATGGTATGTGCCCAAGTCCCAGTAGCATATAATGTGTGCTCCTCTTCCTCTGGTCAATTCCCTAAAACACTGCTTATATTCGTGTACATTGTGCCACTGATGTGTCTAAAAACTGTGAAATAAGCACTCAGAACGGTGTAGTATTTGAGGTATACCAGTGGTTCCAACATATAAGTCATATGTTCAAACCCATGTTATAAGCTCAAACCGGTCTGTTCGACATCATCTCAGCTATGACAGATGCATAATGAGATAGTTCATACCATGGTATACATGTCATATGACCATTAGCACTTATAAGTAGCAGTACAGGCTATATCACTGGTTGCACCAGCTGTATGTTCAGTGGCCTCTGGATCTGTCAGTTTTTATTCAAATTGTATACTATAGGATGTGCCAGAATTCCTTCTGCCTTGGGTATATATCTTCTGGCTCACGTGAAGTGGTGAGATTTCTGCAGTGTTCTGCAAGCTTGAGCGGTTTGAGCTAAAGAGATACTAAGATGGCTATATCTTGGTTATTTGTTGTCTGTTGGACACCAATTGTTGTTTATAAAAACATGGCATTTTATTTGCACATATCTGCCAGATTAAGCAGAGTTCCTTCAAGTGGTTCCCATGTTGCAAATCTGACCGACTCAGCTTGGGTGCAGACCAAAGTTGCTATATCTCAAACAAATTTTCTCTGTTTGGCACCAATATTGCTGCGTCTCAAAGAGGCTTTAAATGCGCATCTAACATGCCTAATTGCGCTGTCTAATGTTCCAGTATGCTTGTTTTGATTTCCCACCAACTTGGCCCGTGCGTAGATTGAAGTTGCTATATCTCAGGCAGTTCGTAGACAAACCTTACGAATTTTACTGCATCATAATTTACGTTTCAATGCGCGTCTATCGCGCCTAAGTGCGCTGTCTAATGTGCCAGTATGACTGTTTCAATTTCTGGCCAAGTTGACCAAGCGAGGTGTTATATACACTCTATATCAGTCATTTCGTATCCGATTTACACAAAATCAAATTTGTCGGATTTCGACAGTGTGGGTGTATCTATGTGCCCATTTGCGCGTAGTTTCATCACCCTGTTGAACTTCTCGAAATCTGGGCTGAGTTGACTGAGGGAGATGTTGCGCATGCTATATATCTGTCAGTTTTTGACCATTTTACATGAAACCAAATGCGCTCAAATTACATTGTTTGGATGTACTCACGTGCAAATTATCACCTAATTACGCTGTCTTCTTCCGTTCTGGGGGTCAGCTTGAGAAGTGCGCTCTTACGGGCGCTTACGGGCGCTTAGACGGGCGTAGAGTTACAGGACATTATCTTTGCCATCTCTGCCTCCTACCACCATCTCCTCCTCTCCCAGACTACTCTATCTGCTGTCCAAGACTTTCTTTACTATTTTCAATGGCCAGCATGGGCAAGAAGCACTCAAGAGGGTATTCAGATAGTAGCTCACAAAGCTACAGTCCTGTACCTCAGGAGGTGAGCAGGGTGTTCTCTTCCCCTTGTTTGATGCACCAGACTGAAGAAGCATGTTCAGCAAACTAGAGATGGGAAGAAACCTGTGAGTATTATGTACTATTCTATCTGCATTTATCTCAGAGCCTCCAAGAAGCTCCTCCCTTCCTATAATGTCAACCCACTGCCCCCTGAAGTACTTGATCCTGGCAAGATCAAGTATGATCCAGAGGCTGTTAAGGCAGGGTTTGAGAAGGGTGTTGCACGGGCTGTGGAGGTGTTGAAGTGGGCCCCTCGCTTCTACATCAACCAGTCATTGGACGAGCTTCCTACTGCTCACCAGTTCAAACCCTCCGAGCTGCGTCAAATTGAAGAGGAGTGGAACGAGGCCAAGAACAAGAATTGCACTCCATTCACTACCATTATTGTCAACCGAATGGCAAGATTCTCATAGTCTATCTAGGGCGCAGACTCTTGATTGTGAGTACTTAGCCGGATTGTAGACATTGTGCTTATATGCATGCAGAGAGGCTCCCCTAGTGTTGAGGCTAAGCCGATCAGTGCCATGTACACTGAACGGAACAATAAAACTGTCCAAAACCTTTGGAAGCGGTTGAAAAAGAATAACAAAACTGATTATCTCATCTCGGACGGCCTTGATGTGAGTTTTTTACAGCACACTTGGCATATTATCTCACTTTCTTTTAGCCAGACGAGCAATCAGATTTCCTCAAGAGCACACAGTTTCTAGCGTCTCAT